CCATGATGCATCACAGCACCAGTCAGCTTGTAGATGTTGATTTTCTCATCAGCAGTGAAGCCCAAGATGTCAATTGCAGTCTGCAAAGTACAGTGTAACATTGGTTTGGAAAAATATCAGATTTACTATAAAATATAAAAAAACAAAGTAAAAAGTAAAAGTATTTTTACGTCTGTTGCAATGAACTCTTCCACATCATTGATGCTCTTGACTGTGATTTCACCCTGGCTGATCATGGGATAATCGTAGGGGTTGGTGGTGATCAGCAGAGCCTCTGCAAAGGATTAGAAGAAATGGATATGTTATATAAAGTGTTGTTTTTGATGTTTTCAAAATACAATATTCTAGTTTTGTATTTAAGACAGGCCTCGGTCTTGAGACTGGTCTCAAAACTACTTTTTGTTGGTCTCTGTCTAATCTCGAACTGTGTACTCGGTTTTGTCTCAATCACTGACAAAAAGGACTTTGAATTTTATTTCAAGACCAGTCGAGACCACAACTGTGACTTATTTGCTCGAATATTGTCCAATTTATTTATTACCATCCTTGCTTTTATTGGATGTAATTTAAACTGATTTAAGTCCAAGCGTGAGTCATTGCTAATTATGTATTTTTGTTATCAGTCACCCATCCCCATTCCCTTTCACTCACAGGTGGCACTATAAGATAATAAGCAGTGTTTTCTTCAGTAATACATTTTGGCTTCATAAATTACAAAGAATATATTTGGAAAACAACATCAAGAATAAAGCCTACAGCAACTTGTTAATACTGCAGTGAGCCACTTTCAGAGACGGTGGGGACTAAGTTAAACTTTTATCATCATTAGTTAGGAAGCACAAAGAAAGGAAAGCTATTCAACATTATCAACCTGCCTCTGTATCAAATGTCCTACCTTGTATTCACAGTGAGATTTAGTCTAAATCAGCTTTACATGTTAAGTTAGCTACCWGTGTACAGTATACTCTATGATTTAAGGATTTTTTTGTCTTGGTTTTGACTAGGTCTCGCCCTCCCTCTGTCTTGGTTTTGACTTGGTCCAGCCCCTAAAGGACTTGGTCTTTTCTCTGTCTCAGTACACTCTTGTTCTTGACTTAGTCTAAAATTAGGTGGTATTGACTACAATACTACAAAATTCACATCTTCTATTAACATACCCAGAAGTTCAGGCTTGTGGCCTGTCATCAACTGATAGAAGATATGATAGCTCCTCTCAGCAGACAGCTGGAAGGTGACACGGGACTTCTCCAGCAGATCTAGGAGAAACCGATAAAATTGGTGATTGTAAAAATGTTGTATTACAGCACATATTTCAGATTCAAGATAATTCAAGCACAGACAATACATTGGATAAAACTTACAAGTTTCAATATCAGCTGAAGACAGCTTTCCAGAAGTGCCAAAGTGGATCCTGATGAATTTACCCTAGACAAGCACGTTCGTATTAGTATAAGTTTATGTATAATATAGAGTATATTATTCATGCAAAATGGACTTTATGTTTTATAACACTCACAAAACGAGAGGAGTTGTCATTCCTCACAGTCTTGGCATTACCATAGGCCTCAAGCAGAGGGTTGGCAGCAACAATCTGGTCCTCAAGAGAGCCCTGCAAATTATAAAAAAAAAAAATTTGTCTTGTTTCCATTTAGTATTGTTTCTTGTAAGCACTTTGATATCACATTTACCTGCATTTTGCCAGGGGTTGGGGCTGCTGCTTCTTTTTTGCCACCAAGAGCTGCAATTGTTGCAAAGTACTGGATGACACGCTTGGTGTTGACAGTCTTTCCAGCACCGGATTCTCCGCTGAGGAACAAGAGAATGTTTTTAAACATTATGTTTCATTCCATTTTTAAATTTCTTTAAGATAAGTATAAGTAAGATTCAAGGTGGTGGTGTACTCACGTAATCAGGACAGACTGGTTCTCACGATCTGAAATACAAACAATCAACCTTCACAAATTAAGCTCACAATTAAAGAATTTTTGTTTTTATTTTGCTTTTACCTTACCAGTGAGCATGAACTGATAGGCATTGTCAGAGATGGAGAAGATGTGGGGTGGAGCCTCAATCCTCTTTTTGCCTCTGTATGCTCCCACAACAACAGCATCATACACAGGAAGCCACTTGTAGGGATTCACGACCACACAGAACAACCCAGAGTAGGTCTGACAGAGCAGAGAACACAAATATTGTATAATCACTTCTGTAAGTATATTGAAAGTATATCTTTTAACCAAATAAAAACTCACATAGATCATCCATGATGCATAACGCTCTTTGAGGTTATACAACACGCAAGGCTCATTGAGGTGGGTCATCATGGCCATGTCCTCAATCTTGTCAAACTTTGGAGGGTTTCTGGGATGGATGTCATCCTCTTTTACGGTGACAGTCTAAATGGAAATTAGGTGATTAAAGGGTCGGATAAAACAATCATAAAAATGTTATTTTTCAGTCAATTTGATGTTAACTCTCCAAAATTGTTATAGGTTTAAAAGCACAATATTCAATATAGTTTGATGAACATATTATAATAATTAAAAGCAAGTGCAAAAAAGTAGGAACAGCCTTTAAATTGTCAAATTTACCTTTCCTCCGTCTGTCTCCACAGTGGCTTTGCCACCCTCTTTTTTCACCAGTTTACCCTTGAGATACATCTCTTTCTCATCAACCACAAAATAAGCAGTTTTGGCATCAAATGGGGCGGCCTGAGCCTCAATTCTCTCCCTTTCTGGCTTCCGGAGGTAAATGGCCGCCGGGCCATACTGCTCCATCTCAGCGTCTGTGCTCATGATGGCACTAGTAGTGGAGCCTGATAGAAACATTTATAATAGGGTTTATGTATGAACGTTTATTATCCAGTGTATGTCACAAGTTAACATGAACAAGAAGTGCAATTGGCAAATGGATTACACATTTTTTTTCAGTGTTGATTTATAAGCATTAAGAAAATATAAGTASATTTTTAAAGAGTTTTTTGTCTTTACCTCAGCTAGTTTCAGAAAGTAATGAGGTGCAGCCTTTGATGGAGTTTGAAGATGCTTTGAAAAAGGAAAATACGTGTACATCAATTTAATTCTCAGCAAGTTCAGCAATACTATACATTAATGAAACAAAAAAGGAAAACAAACAGCTGATGTAAACTGTTTTCAGTTGTATCATTCAATTTTATGTACTCTCTCAACTCTTTAATTTTTTTCTTCAAGAAAAAGCCARAATATAGCCTCAATGTCAGTCACGTATTTTAAATCAAAAAGTGTCAAGGAACCCTTCATAATTCACAATTTCTAATGCGGATTTTAACAAGACTTTGATGAAAAGCCATCAGGTTAATACATGTGTTAGGGTTACTCTTCCATAAAACTGAGGCCAAAATGGACTAAAACATAATCATAATAAATTCACAAGAAAATGAAGTAAGGTCAAAGTGAACACTCACCTGGGAAGAAAGCCCATCAGTTCCATCAGATGTCTGGAGCTGCTGCATTTATAGAGGGTGGGAGTGTCCAGTCAGCACTAACCACTCACTCAGTTTGGTCATGATCTCTAATCATCCTGTTGCCTTTTTTGTGGCAGCGAGGTTTATGGAAGTTATCTGTATACTTTGCAATTATAGTACATTGAGATACCATGCAAAGTTATTTGATTTAATGGAAAAAATGCTTGGAAAATGGTGACAATGCTAAGGACAGCAAACCATCACTACAATGACTCCCACTTTAGTTTAATAAGTAATTAAGTAAAACAAAAAGTAGAACTATTAAATGAGAAGGAGGGAGTTGCTTGTGTGCTAGTGCCAATTATTTTTTGCTGTAAATTCCAGTCCACCATCGACTTCATACCATCACCTTCCTAAAATGACCACCTGCCATTTTTGGGCNCTGTGAAAGTATTTATTGAAACCACATCCAGGGATCATGTTTTGTCATAACTTTTATAGCCATGTTTTACAAGGACTTGGCTCATAATTTGTGATCTTGCCGAATATGATGATGATATTACCATGCTCAAAAATAAATTCAGCTTAGGCAGGGAGCACTGATTCATGTCTGGCATAGAAGGAGATAAACATATTTATAGAGCTTATTTAAATATGATGATAGCACCATAAGCCAGGATTGAAAAAAAAATCTTATTTTTAATTACCTTGTAATTTTTTAGAACCCTCAAATCTATTTAGAAATAACTATGTTCAGAGTTTGAATGCATTGCAAATTACAAGTTTATTGTAATTATCCAAGGATTAGGCTGTATAGACTAAAATGTACAAGACACATAACAGAARAGCTACAACCAAAACAGGAAAACAGCCTGCAGGGTTGGATGTTTTCCTTTTGGCCTGCACCAAAGACAATTCAGTCTAATTTGTGTTTGAGAACTGTGTAACAATGGAGCTTTGTTGGTGAAATTTTAAGCTTTATGTTTTAGAATTTGCAATAYTTCCCTGTATTTTTTTCCTTTCACTCCTATAACTGCTTTTTATTAGATAATTCATTATTGGTCATGTGTAAAACCTGTTTGAGGGATGGTCTGTGTCATAGACTGAATGGAAGTGGGACCTGTTTAGTGACCTGTTAAAGTGTTTATATTTCTGAAACGTACACTTGGACCCTAAATACCCAGATGGTGGTGAAAGAGGCCCAACAGCAGCTGCATTTCCTGAGAGTTTGTAGGAGAAATGAACTGAATCTGAAACTGATGGTGTCCTTTTGTCATGCGATGGTAGAACCTGTATCATGCTGGTTTGTCATGCTGGTTTATTGGAACCACAACTGCAGGCCCCACAGGGTCATAAATCAGAACAAGGAATTACTGGCTGCCCTCTGTCAACCTCAGAATAAATCTGCAGGAAAACTGCATCAAACCTTAAAAACTTGCCACACACCAAATATCAGCTGTTTGACCTGTTGAAATTGAGCAAAGTCAACAAAAGCCCATACCTCCAGACCCAAAAMCAGCTTATTTCTCAGGGCTATTAGGATGCTAAATTACCAATAAATTAATAAATGATACTGACTGCTACTATAACTGTTTTACTTTTTTTTAAATTACTGATTCAGTTAAATAACCAGTTGCTTGTATCAAAATACTGTTTTACTAAATATTGTTTCACTCAGTTGACCTGCTGCTATTACTGTTTTAATGATTATTATTTTATTTTATTATTTTCTTTTGACTGTTTTTTTGGGGGCTGGGGTGGGGGGGTGGATCATTGATTTTATTGATTGTTTTATAGGGCAACTCATCTTGACATTCTGTCAAACACAGTGAGAAAACATGACGGGTGGTGCCCGTATCCATGGTTATGGGCGGAGGATGGCTAGGAGGGGTTGGAAGGGCTGGGGGCTAGTGCAGAGGCAGGGGTCTTGGCTGCTTCCTAATAGAGGTTCTCCTTCACGTAGGCAGCAATGTACTTGATAGCAAGCATGGTGTCCTTGCACGTGGGTTTGATCTCGGACTTGGACAGCAGGAAGCCATAACAACCRGTATCACGCAACTCGAAGGTGTAGGAATATTTCACTCCCAGGTCGTAAGCCCAGTCATCAAAGCCTCATGCAGTGGGGTCTGAGGGCAAATGAGCAGAGAGGGAGTGGTTTTTAGRGCATCTTTTTTTTTACATCTATTGCTTTGATTTGCTTTGATTGATCATCTTTTGTTTTGTCTCTGGAGGGTCCAACTTGTGCAAAGAGACGTGTGCATCACAAACACATCAAATGCACAATACTACAGATGCAAATAAACTATCTYGCTTTCATCAGACACACCATTTGCATTTTTTATTTATTTTTAATTTTTTGCCGTGTCCTGTCTGGCAATGTGAAACTCAGAATTGATGTCTGATGATGTTTTTTTTTTTTTGATTGTTAAGCCTGTAAGTATAAATGGAAGTGGAACCTGAAGTCTCATTGCATTTTTCCTATATAATGAAAGGTTGTCATCAATTCGACAAAATCAACATCATGTGCTTACAGACCCAAACATGAAGGTTGTCAAAAAAGAAAACTGTACCTAAAGTGAAACACGGAGAAGGCCTAATTATGTTCTGGGGCTGAATGAATKAATTAATTTATTAATTAGGACAATGTGCAATTAAAACATAAACATAAAAACATTTGATGCATTGCACCAGATTTAGCCTAAGGCTAATTTGCATCTGTAGTCCTAGACAGTAAAAACAAAACAACATCCAACAGTAACAAAAATGAGATGGAAAATATCACTAAACATCCAATAAAAAAAATTGTGATTGAAGTATTAAGTAGATTTAAAATATTCCGCATGATCACCCCAGGAGCAAACCGAAGAACTGCAGGTTTCTCTGCTTTGCTGTATCTGGCACAAGTTGTCTTGAATCTGTCAGGTTACTATGAAATTTCCAGATTATCAAGGTAGTGATAGGAGCCAKTGACCTTCTGCCCAGTGTCAGGAAGCTTAGTCTCAGTTGCAAGTTATGTGGATCCTCCAATAGGATAAAGACCCAAAACACACAACTGAAAATATCTAAAAATGGCCGAGAACGATACGAAAGAGCCTTCTGAACCCTGACCTGACCCTGATTCTGTCAAACGTGTGGAAGGAGCTGAAACATGCAGCCTGGGGAGTGAGACAAAATAATTGTCAACAGGTGCAGAAGTGTCATGCAGAGTTTAAGAAATCGCTTGATTGCCTCAAAAKGCTGTGCAACAAAGCAAGAGATTTAGAACACTGTTCTTGTCATAGCCGTTTAATTCTTTTAAACAAAAAACAAATGCAATGATGGATTTTCTAGGGCATAATCTATTTTTATGGGCAGCATGATGGCTCAGTTGGTAGAGGTGTTGTTTCSCAGCAAGAAGTTTGCTGGATCAAATCCCAGCCAGGGACCTTTTTGGGCAGAGCTTCCATGTTCCCTCCGTGCATGCATGGGTTTTCTCTTGGTACTCCAGTTTCCTCCCACAGACCAACATGACTGTTAGGCTCATTGGTAACTTTAAATTATCCCTAGGTGTGAGTAACAAAGTAAATTGTGGTTGTCTGTTTTGTTTGTCTTTATTTGGTCCTGTGATGAACTGTGTTTCCTGTCCAGGGTGTACCCCACCCCTTGCACAGTGACTGATGGATATGAGCACCAGTGAGTGACCCCTGTGACCCTGAAAGGAAAAAGTGCTTTATGTAAGATAATGGATGGATTTCTACTGTATTTAATGAGAGGTACTTCCATGACAGATCACACTTCTGTTGTAGCCTCTCAGTACTGTCTTCTTGTAAAGTTTAGATCATAATTAAAAAACCTTCTTGTTTCATTCAAAGTCATTATTAGCCAAACCTAGACTTATCTGAGTAATCTTCATATTGATATGCAGTGGTGGGCAGCGCTAATTCAAAAGTTAGTTCTGCAAATTCCAAACAGCTAATTATTTTCTTTAGTTCCGCATGTTCTAAAGCACACGTCATAAATATTTTAGCGGAAGTTAAATAGATCCGCAAAATTGGTAGAGATGTGACGTTCGTGAACGATCCAAGTCTTTTGAACGGTTCTTTACAACGAACGATAGGAGCCGAATCGCGGGCAGTAACRAGCCATTTGTAGTTTTATTTCTTTTATTCCTCATATAATCTTTATTTTTTCATACTTAAATTGCTCCTGCTTTGCTTTTTCACGAAAAAGAGGCGGAGTTGTGGAGTACAGAAGCTCACGGTGAAAGGGGGAGGGGGGGTTCCGCTTGACAAACACATGGTTCCACCCACGTGACAGGATTACCTAACACACTCAGTGGAATTACATGTGGAGTTCCTAAGGGTTCTGTACTTGGACCAAAATTGTTTATCCTATATGTGAATGACTTGGTCAATGTGTCAGGATTATTTAAACGTGTTTTGTTTGCAGATGATACCACATTTTTTTGTTTGGGTAAAGACATAGAATGGATGTTGGAGAAAATGCAAGCAGAATTTATGAAAATACAGAATTGGTTTAAACTTAACAAATTATCATTAAACTTGGACCAAACTAATTATATGATATTTACAAATAGACAAAGAACTGTTAATATTCAATTTAGAGTTGATGGTGTAGAGATTAGTAGAATCAGTGAGGTGAAGTTTTTGGGTGTTATTATTGATGAGAAACTGACATGGAAACCTAATTTAAATTACTTAAGGATAAAACTAGCTAAATCTATTGCATTGCTTTACAAAGTAAGGGACTTGTTTAATGATAAAGCTCTGTAAATGTTATACAACACATTAATTGTTCCACACTTGGTCTGTTGTGTCAAGGTRTGGGGTAAAGCATGTAAGACTATTACAAAACCTGTTTTTGTTTTGCAGAAAATGGCTATAAGAGTTATCACTCGAGAACACTACCATTATCCATCTAATATATTTTGCAAACTGAAATTATTGAAATTCTATGATTTGGTTGATTGCAGTATTTTGTTAGTTATGTATAAGACACACCAAAACACATTACATTTGAATATTCAGATAAACTTTGTAAAGAGAGTGTGAGCTGTTATAATCTTACGGGGACGTAGATGTTCATGCAACCTAAATTTGGAACATGTTTGAAAGATCGGTACACCTCGATCCAAGGAGTCAGATTGTGGAATAATCTGAAAGATGATGTTAAAAGTGCTAGATCAATGTACATGTTTAAGAGAATGATAAAGCCTSGATTGTTAAAAAAAAACATTAAACAGTTTAATATGTAGCCATTCAATTTGTTGTTCTAGAAAGATTTGATGTTTTTGTTTTGTTTTGTTAACTGAAGATTATTATAGTTTGAATTTATACTTGAGAACAAAGGGGCAGATATTATAAGATTTTTTAATTCTCTCTGCCGCCTTTCATTTCATTTTATTGTATTTTTTTATGGTATATACTGTAGAATCAATTTAGTTTTTATGGAATGAATAAAGTTTTAAATAAAATAAAAAAAGTTTCACAATGCCGCTTGTTTTTTAGAAGGTCCCAGATTTAATATATCTGCTATGGTATGCTTTTGCAATTAAATAAATAATTCAGTCAGAATGACCTTTTCATTACATTTGTGAATATGAAATTTGCCAAATATTCCAATTCGATAAATTGCTAGTCTTCTGTTTAGTATTCTTTCTATGAAAACCAAAAATAATATGTTCATACCTCAATGAAAATTTAGTGTCAGTATTACAAAGGATAAAATTTTTACATTCCTTCCAAAATGTCTTTGTGATAAGACAATTCCAGAATAAATGACTGATTGTTTCTAGATGCTTTTTGCTAAATTTACAGTCGGGGTTTGTTTTAATATAATTCTTCATGTACTAATTGGGAGAAATTATGTATAACAGTTAAAAATAAACATTTTTCATTTTGTCCTTTATCAAAAGTTTCTGATGAAATGTCCACACATTTTCCACTGTGAATCAGGGACAAATTTCTTCCAGTAGAAAACAGCTGAAGGAGCAGAAATAAAATAACACGTTTTGAATTAAAAGGCAGAAATATGGACATGTTCACAGAGCACCATCAGTCAAGTGGTGGCAGTAATGCTCTTAAATGAGTCTGCTAACTGCCAATGAATCCAAAGAAGAAGAACTTAAAAGAAAAAGTTTTTATACTCTGGTGTATAAGCCTCCTTCGGCTTCCTTCTAAAAACAATTGCTTGTTGTAGTTCTACTATAATTTTTAGCTGTGTAGATGCCAAAACAGTGACCGGTCCCACCCTTTTGGATGTCACAGTTATGGTGCAGATGCGCAGGTTGATGATGTAATTCTTACTGTCCCAATTCTCCAGTTTTTACACACTTGTAAGTAACCTATACACTCGAACCCTTATGTGCACTTCAGCTGAGTGCACACTTCAAGAGGGGTGTAGGGTGTAGTTTGAGTATTGGGACCGGGCCATAGAGGCAAGTATACACAGGGAAACACAGAAACACTAAAACCAAGGTAAAAACATACAGACCATGACAGAAAGTTAAAGACCTCCTGAAATTTGAGTAACTCCAGTAAGTATACCATTACAGTTTTTATTGATTGGTTTGACACAGCCGTCAACTCAAAATCCACATTTTCAAAACAGTTAACGCAGAGGCCTAAACAGTGCCACAGTGGTCAAAATGACACATTTTGTTTGCAAAAGGCACTAACTGCGCCAAATTTAAAATACATTTAAAATATGGAACAAAAGCAAATTTTGCCTAACTCAACTTTGACACAATGTATAAGCACCTCCAATCAATCATTACACAATGGGCAACAAAATACAAAATACAGCACTCGTGTGAATCAGTGCACCATTGCTTGTCATTGTAGCCTATGACTGTATGTAGCTTACATGCCAGTTTGTAGTCAAATTTACCCTCTTGCAAAAAATGCATCCAGAAGCAGATATGCTTTGACGCAAATTTTATTGATTGCATTCTTTTTTTCAGACTTTGCCTGACAAATGAAATATTCCAACAGAGAATACATGGAAATAAAAAGAAAATCCTTTACTGTGTGAGAAATTAGGTAAATAAAAAACAATCTTTTACAGTAAAGAACAAAAATCTATAGTAGGCCTATACTATAAGAGTATAAGAGAACAACACAGGCTTGCAGACTGACTGCAAATTGAAAAATTCTGTGAAGAAGTGTCAAACAGCTGCTTTCAGTGATTTCATACTGATCAGGGAGTTTCTAAGAGCTTGGAGCAGATGGTTTCTGTTCTGTAACCACAGCTAAAACAGAGGAGTTTGGACTTCTTGAATGACATCTGCGTTAACTGTTTTGCAAAATGGTGGGAAAACCGTGTCAATCCAATGAGAACACATTTGAAAAGGAGTCTTCCGCTCTGCTGAGATGGTGATGATGAAGACTGAGAGGTTCCCAGTTTCTTCAAACAGGTCAAACTGTAACTGGAGTTACTCAAGTTTAAGACCTCCTGACATTTGAGTAACTCCAGTAAGTTTACCATTAACTGCATTTCTTAAGGAACTCAGTTTTCTAATATTATTAACACATTATGAGAAACGTAGATCCTTGCTTTTTTTGAGGCATATGTGTTWATGTGAGGTTTCATTTCTGTTACTTTCTGTACTTTAGGTACTGGTTTGCCTTTGCAAAAATAGAAACACATCTACCTCTAAATCCCTTTGCAGCATGGAGACGAGGGGTGCTGTGGGGGAGATATCATGTTTTATAAGTTGCCTTTCCAATTAATTTGATGACTGCCTGTATTTTCAGACTGGGCATGCTTGAACAGCATATTCAAAAATAGGGTGACATCTGCAAGTGTGACCTCGTGTGTCAGGGAGCTTAAACAGATGACTGAAGCATCTTGAATACATATAAGGCACTCCATGGGGCTGTTGACTGATTTTATGGCTTCTGCTTTGACCACAATTGCATGCTCTGTTTTACTATGTAGCAGAGAAAGTGATGAATACAGCCAGTGAGTGTAGAATGCAATACTGATAAAGTAAGTATTTGAAGAAGCCTTTGCATGAAAATGTTTGTCTTGGTTTGCCTTCAGTCTGGTCTTTCTTTACAGTTTATTCTTTATGCAAAAGCATCTCTTAAAAGAACATATAGCATTATTACCTTAATTTGTTTATCTTTAATTTCAGCATGTATTGTGGAGTTCAACTTATATTTTTAAATAAAACTAAAAACTGCATAGTTTTAGTTTCCAAAAGCTTACTGAAGCATGACAAGGATTTGAGATTTGCTATAATTTATTGCTAAGATGAATATTTTTTGTAACAATAACACATTCATGGCTGTATATTAAAAACTCAAATTGACAAGGCTTTATGCATTTTTAACTGCCTGCTTAAAACTATTTCAGTGCTTAAGTTAATGTCTTATTTGCAGTGTTTTTAGTTGCAATTAAAGTAAATACAGTATATGTAGTTTTTTTTCACATAAAGTTTCTTTATCTGACAGTAACTGTAAAATTCAAGTACTTTTCAATTCAGACAGAGGCTTCAAAGCACATTGTGTTTTGAATGTACTTAATAAAACTGTTATTAAAAGAAATCTGTGTGTGACAGTCTGGCGTATTTTTTTTAAATACACACATAAATATATATTTGATCAAAGTTAGCCCTCTTCAGTTTAAGTTTTTATCTGAAGCACATTGTCTTCATATTTTTCTTGAAGAGTTACTGCCAAAATGTAGAAATCCTCCTAATATTTCTCATTTTTAGTTAAAAGACCATTCAAACTCAATTTAAAGCAACAGTTTTTTTAAGTTCTAAATTTCTATTACTTTTCATTTTGTAACAATCAGTTACTATCTATTACTTCAATTCTAACTTCATGAAAGGTAGAAGCTTAAAGAGTTTTACTAAAAGTCAAATAAAAATGAATGACAGTCTTCAGTTTCTTCCTCAGTAACTACACAAGGAGTTKCGGAGGTTCTGGAGGCTACCTTCTCAGTAGATGCATTCATGTTTAGAAGCGTTTTACAATAAAAGAGTGGTGTTAATTATTCAGATACAAATCTATCACCAGGCAGAAGGATTGTCCAGACATGATTCTAATTTATACAAGGAATTAGAGTTACACCTTTTTAAGAAAGGGGAAATAAGGATTATGGTTTGAATGAGCTTTTCCAGAAGCTATGTTCGTTAAATAGGCCTAGTAATGTACTTGACTAAACAAAGTCAAAATCAATTAAATAGATTAAAAAAAGAGCAAACAGTTATACATTTAGGAATATAATTTATTGACTTAATACACTATAGGGACACATCTTAACAGGTCATATTTTATGATGTGTATTAAAATGTTCCCAAATAAATGGAGTCCCTTATTCAGCTTCAGACTGAAAGACAAAAAAAAGGTTAATCAATTAACTTTGCAAAYATTTGGTTATCAACAACAGTAACTACACAGTATATAATATGTAAAAGATTGATCTAGATCTTACAAATCGAAGTAAAAACTATAGAATGATGTACAGTATGCTTGTCAAAAATTCTCATTCGACCAAAATACAATTTACATGAATGTGATCTCACCTTTCCGGCATCACGGCTCTTGGCTCTGAGCTTGTTGACCTGGGACTCAGCGATGTCAGCACGCTCCTGAGCCTCCTCCATCTCATGCTGGACCTTCCTGAGCCTGGACATGTGGGTGTTGGCCTGCTCCTCCTGTGTTTGGAATTACAGATTGTTGTGGTACATCCCATCATGAAAAATGCCCTTTACATATTATGTCTCTGCTTAAATGTATCAACTCTCCAAAAGAAATGTGAATTATTTCACTTACAGCCTCCTCAGCTTGTCTCTTGTAAGCCTTGACTTTGAGCTGCAGCTTGTCCACCAGGTCCTGAAGTCTGATCAAATTCTTCTTGTCCTCCTCAGTCTACAGAGATAAACATTTAATGTTAAAAAAGTACATGATAACTAAACATAATTTTGTGAATGTATAAATACCTGGTAGGTCAGCTCCTTCACTCTCCTCTCATATTTGCGGACTCCTTTAACAGCGTCAGCTCCACGTTTCTGCTCAGCTTCAACTTCAGTTTCCAGTTCACGCACCTGATTAAAGATGACATTTTTTGATTTATAGGGTAAATATATACACATTTTCACTTTCTTTAAGCAGTCACAGAACATTGGGTCCATACCCTGTGCTCCAGTTTCTGAAGCTGCTTCTTGCCACCCTTCATGGCGAGGTTCTCGGCCTCATCCAGACGGTGCTGCAGGTCCTTAACAGTGACCTCCAAGTTCTTCTTCATCCTCTCCAAGTGAGCACTGGTGTCCTGCTCCTTCTTCAGCTCCTCAGCCATCATGGCAGCCTGTAATGATGGGAAATTTTATATTACAATTTTGAATGTTTTTGAAAACCTAAGAGCTTGGTACAAATTTAGATAGAAATGTTAGCTCACATCAGTGATGGCTTTCTTGGCTTTCTCCTCAGCATTTCTTGCTTCCTGAACAGCATCGTCCACCTCACCCTGAACCTGGACAAGATCAGCCTCCAGCTTCTTCTTGGTGTTTATAAGGCTGGTGTTCTAAAATAGGATTAAATAAAACTTGTTGAAAATCAGTCTGTTATATCTTAAATACCTCTCAGTTCAAGTATTCCAAAAACCCAACCTGAGAGTGAAGCAGTCCAACACGCTCACTGGCATCAACCAACTCCTGCTCAGCCACTTTTCGTGATCTCTCTGTCTGTTCCAGAGCAGCTCTCAGCTCCTCAATCTCAGCCAACATCAGACCATTCCTGCGCTCCACCATGGCAACCTGCTCCTTCATGTCCTCCTGTCCTCTRASAGCATCATCAAGGTGCAGTTGGGCATCCTAACAACAAACCAAGAGTCAGAGAGAATGTTTTTATTCTGAAACTATTGTATTTAAWTATCACAGTAAGCARAGCTCACCTTGAGCTGTCCCTGAACATTCCTCAGTTGTTTCTGGGCCTCAGCAGCCTGCCTGTTGGCATGGCTCAGCTGAATCTCCATCTCATTCAGGTCTCCCTCCATCTTCTTCTTGACTCTCAGGGCATCATTCCTGCTCCTGACCTCAGCATCAAGAGTGCTCTGCATGGAGTCAATCACCCTCTGGCTGTTTCTCTTGATCTGCTCCATTTCCTCATCCTTCTCAGCCAGCTT